GAAGCTGAGTACACTACATCAAAGGTAAAGTTTATTTTCACGATTCCCAGAAACTTTTGGGACTGAAAAGGTTCCCATGACCAAACACTAAATAAACGTGTAGCTTTAAAGGTGTGAGCCTAAAAGTTTGATGCTCTCAGAATTATAAATTAGAGCATGCACATAACTTTGATTCTCAGACTTCCCACAAATATGCACTGAAACTAAAGAAGAGTAGTTCTAAAGCAAAATCACCTTGAGAAAGCCACCTTTCCTGAAACGGCACTTTTCACATGTGACTGTGTTAATGAATTCGTGTTTATCCAGAGAATCCTTTTAAAAATAGAATTGTTCAATGGCTTGATAAATCAAGTTTGGTCTGAAGGAAATCCAATATGCAAATACTTATAGTGTGTTCTTTTACAAATAGTCACCCTTGACAGTTTGAGAAACTGAAAATCAACAAAAGAACAGTGTAAGTATACTTGACCTTACTGCCTAATGTCTATCAAGACTGCCACGGCTGGTCGATTTCAAATTTGTGAAACTGACACTTAAAAATGTATAGAGCATCTTCAGTCCAGGTCCCTCAAGTGCTGACTAAACTGTAGTCACAGCCTCAGATTCTCCTTCCATACTAACTTGCACAGCACTTACAAAGCCAGTTTAATCACACCATTAATCTATGACCACACTTTCCTTAAAGTAATTCTGCTTCATTTATCTTTTAACCCTACTTTACGCAAATAACGTTCTTTATCGGTTATTAATGTTCCTACTTGTTTATCCTTGACATACACTGAGAAACTTGGATCACACATGAATTTGCACAGATACCTCTTCTATGTTTCACATTCTTTATGAAAAATCACCCTTACATGACCATAGTGTTAAAGAAGTTCTAAATAATGTTCTTGAAAAACCCTTCAATGTCTATGACTAACAACACAGCATGAGTTAATAGATTTAAAAAGACAAAACAAAAACTTAGGGGACTGCCTACTTGATTTTTTTTAAATGTCTCTCTAGGAAGGTTTTGCATATGCCATACAAGGGTAGCTCCTGGATATAAGAACAGTTATACAGGCCCCTAGTGGCTTAGCAAATAGCAGCAGATGAGGGGATTCCAATTCTTAGTTCTCGACTTTGAGATATGCTGGCTTTAAATGAATGTCAATCTTAAAAGGCAAATCAAATCATTATACTTAATACTTTAAGCAGTTTTACTTTCATGGTTATCTACTGAAATACATACATATTAAAACAGATCATGGCAGATCATTACTTTAATAACTGTAAATGCACTGGTCCAAGAAGAATTTGTGTTACATAACCTCCACAAAAAATACTTAATTCATCCACCTCTTTACATGTCATTACAAAAATAATATATTACTCATATATATGTATTAAAATATATTCAAGAGACACTTTTCCCTTTTGAATCTCACTCCTCTTATACTATTAGTACTGAGGGTTTTAAGAATAGATTATTTCTATGTAAAGTGCTCACTATTTAAAATGAAATAAAGATACAACCTGAATGCCACTTTTACAATGGCAGAAATCAAAAGGTACTTCCCAACAACATCCAATGATAAAACTCACGCTGGAGTGCAACCTATATTAAAAGATCTGCAATTAATAACACCCCTTAATGCTCATCCTCTTGCTGTCTTTCCTTTACAAAAGAAAATTCCAGGCAGGCATATTTACAGCTTTTAGCAGTTTTTAACTGGACACAATCTGACAGCTGAATTCATAAAACTGACCAGCTTGTCAATTTCACACTTTGAAAGTACAATAATAGCTGATAGCATGAGGGTGAATTTAAGAAATCTGTCACAGAATTGCTAGCTCCATTGAAAAGCAAAGAACAGTACATAATTATGGGAGGTGGGAGGTAAGAAAATTTTCTTTCTATTGTCCACTTAGGATGTTTGTTTCAAGAATTCAGACATCAAGCACTGAAAATTTATTTCTCATGCTATGTCAATAAATAATATCTCTCTGTAGCATATAACAGAGTGTTTCCAAAATAAGTATAATATCTACTAAGCATTGTCCTGGATATCCTCATATTACCAACACAATAATCTTTAAGTTGGTATCATCTAAATATTCCTTTAAATCAGGGCATTTCGAGTTTTGGTACATCACCCTGGTTTTACTCAAGTTGACTGGTGGGTGTGTACGCTCTGAAACAGAGATAGAACAGCCAAAATGGTCAGGATTATCAATGGTTGGACTAACTCCCCATATGTGTGCTACAGGATGGCTGGAAAGAACGCACCAAGGGGAAAGGTCCACGTTTGTAGATATGAAAGTCCAACAGCAAATCAATCTCTTATCACAGGCAGTTCTAGTCTCTGAGAGGCTCAAAATGTGTGCGTTACGCTCTGCTAAGTTGCTGGCGCTGTGTCTGTGGGCATGAAAAAAAAAAAGAAAAAAACTTTAAGAGAAAATACAGGGAAGCGATCCCTTGGGAATCTTCCTAGGTGCCTGAGGTACAAACTGTAGATTGGTCTGGGGGATCACTCTAAGAATTTTAGAGAACAGAGGAGACATTTAGCAAGTCCTGTACTGCGAGGCGAGCTGAAACAATACAAGTGGATTGTGATAGTCCGGGTTTTGGAGAATGGAACTACTATTCAGAATCCTGGAGCACCCAGTTAATGAAAGCCAAGCTCACACTTAGCGTTCAAGATTTTTTTGTTTAAGCATAAGAAAACTGACTTCACTTGTTAATGCTTGTAAATGAAAACCAACCCCGCAGATAAACAAGTTTTCTACACGCCTATAAAAGAGCTACAATAAATCGATGGAAAGGCAGAGGATCTTTGGTGTGCCCATGGCTTTCTTTTTCCATTGTTTCCTACAACTTGGACTTTTCACTATAAAGTCTGCGTTCCCTTCCCTACGGAATAGTGTGTAAGCACAGCCGATTCCCGTAGCTGAACTACGAGCTTTGATTCTGCTCTAGAAAGGTCTCCAAAACAATCCCCCTCCTCTATGGCAGCCGCGTAGACTTTGATTCCTGCTATTTCTCCTTCCCCCCACTAGTTCAGAGGAAAGAAAGAAAAAGAAATCGCCCCCCTCACCGTAACCAGCCCTCCTTAAAACAGTCATCATTGCCACGTAATACATATATATTATCTATACATGCAGTGGCAGAACCCCTGGGTAGGGTCGGACTGCCCCACCACCCCACCTTTTCCCAAACACCATGCCCACCCCAGCGGGAGAGCGCGGGGGTCGCACAAATGCACACACCCAGCACCCTCACTGAACTGCCCCTCTCCCGGGTCTGAGGTTTTCGGCGAGAAGCGAGCCGTGCCGGGGAGGACTGTGCCCGGGGAGGTTCAGGAGGGCAAACTGAGTGCGCTCCGGGGCCGGGCTCGCCGACGCTGGAGCGTGCAGGTCCGCGGGGAGCCGCGGGGGCTGCCGGCGCCCGGCTCCGGGCAAGCCCCGCGCGCAGAATGGGGAGGACGCGGGGGGGGAGGACCCGGT